CAGCTGTTCAATTCAGACACAGAGGATGAGGACTTCGATGGGTTTGATTGATGACAATTACCGGTAATAAAAATGTGAGTACCAAACTCAGTTTTGCTCCTGCTTTATTTTTAAACACGCATACTTGTATGAGCCCTATAATCAGGTGCGCCTCATGTGTGTGTTAAATACAGTAATGGCACACATAACTGAGACTGCACCTTTTAGTACGGTGCATCTTATGGTCGTGAAAATACGGTAGGTGTTGAAAGCATGCGTGGAGAGTGGTGGGCTGGCCCGCCGGCCTTCCTGGAGTACCGGCCATTCTGTGATTCTCCAGAATCCACAGATGGCCAGTCCGCCGCTGGTGGTGAGTGTGAGGAAGGGGCTCTTGTGTGTTGCTGTGGTTGCTCTGAGAAGAGCCGTTGTTGTGTGAGAGTGGTGGCGGCTTCTTGGCTGCTGTGGCCGCCGCTGCGGGCTTCTTGGCCTTCTTGGGCAACTTCTTCTAAGATAAGTAAAATGCTGCACAATACCTCCGACCAACTCCATCATGTGCTGACCAGTCATAGGAGTACCAAAATTCACCTCTGAACACAAGAAATCATTCCTACCTACTTCCTGTACAACTCATCCATCTTATGCACAGCACTTACTACAATAGTTGGATTATATAAAGGCAGATAGAAAGGGAAAGGTGGCTACAGAGCCAACAAATTAGGAATCAGATTGAAGATAACTTTGATGGAAAGTCCTCTTTGGTCATAGCTAGAAAAGCTGGATGCGAAGGACACAGCAGAGCCTGACTGTGTCATAGGCAGTATAGGCAAATACTAAAGGTGCCATCTGGAAGCGCAAGTCTGTATTGAAGTCCTGCGCGATCTCACGGACCAGGTGCTGGAAGGGCAGCTTGCGGATGAGCAGCTCGGTTGATTTCTGGTAACGGCGGATCTCCCTCAGAGCCACGGTACCGGGCCTGTAGCGGTGAGGCTTCTTCACACCGCCAGTGGCCGGCGCGCCCTTATGGGCAGCTTTGGTGGCGAGCTGCTTCCTGGGAGCCTTTCCTCCGGTGGATTTACGGGCAGTTTGCTTCGTTCTGGCCAGCTTGGTTTGTGAAAAGAACGTTATACAGTGTACTGCGGAGATGCCCCTTTATCCGGTCGTAAAGTCTGACGTCACTAGCCGTGTCTGGACCTAAACTCCGCTGCAGGTCCATATATCAAACATCACTATGGCATTACTGAGACTTGAAAAACTGTCTAAAGTCTTTCATCTTTAATAAAATGATCAGCGTTCTGCTCTACCAGGTATAACAATTGAGTTTCGCATCCATGAAAACGGAATTTATGATATTTAATGGAGTTAGAAGTTAGCAGGAAGTTAGCTTGCTAGCTTCTATCTAAATACAATATAGCATGTCCTGACTGCGGGGTTTTGGAAACAAATTAAAACGTACAGCTCTGCTATCACTTCCAGCATAAATGAAGACAGAAAACTAAACAGCAGTGACGTTTGTAGGGTTACTGAAGTTGGGCTAGCTGGTATATAATGATGTGCTACGTGACCGCTAGCGACACAGCATAATATAAACAAGTTAACTTTTATCGAGTGGAAAAAAGTTAACGTGAGTGTTCTCAGTGGTCAGGAACAAATGTAATCGCATGGCAGGATGCTGTAAAGGACCAAACTTCAGCCAGGAGAACAACTGAGATAATCCATCCACAATACGAGGTTAGTCATTCATATACTGCTGCATGGGCTGGGCTGTAGTTACATCCTAAGGTTTTAAAAACTGAGCTTAAATAAATGATTAGCGGTAATAAAAGCCGAGGGAGGCCGACAGTGATCATTGACTGTTTTAGGAGCTTTTTGAGATTAAATAGAAGAAAACACATAACATTAAACATGTTAACAACACAAAAGCCATATTAAACGCAGACTACTTTAGGCCCGGAAGTAGGATTTGTCACGTCATCACTGAACGACCGGATAGCCCGCAGCTGGTGCCACTACATCGCTAATTGGTCCATTGTGCGCACGTGTGTGTGTACACGTAATACGTTTGAAAATTCAAATTAACCTATCAGGTCAGCGGTACAGTGAATTTTTAGTATGAGGGTTAAAAAAACTTAAGATATTCATTGTGTGTACTCATGTTGTACAGTGTTTAACTGCATTATGGTTACTGTGGTTTAACAGAGACAGTATTTTAGTTGCCACCACAAGGAGGCACTGTTTCATTGTAAGAGCACGGATGCTGCGTCATCACGCCCCTAAGGAAAAAAAAAAAGTATACCACAACGAAAATGGCACCCATGAGAAAAGTTTTGCCGCGTGTTGATGAGGAATAAAGTTCACAAAATATTAAGGACATTTTTGCCTCCGTCGTCATTTTCCTTCGAGTTGATCGCTGTCGATGCTGCAATACTCAACAAAAACATTAGCACAAGCTTAAAATAAATAATAACTAATAATCCTTTTGTAATTAAAACAATGTTTTAAAGCTTGGAAAGTTTAACAGGGACTGACATTATTTCTTTATTATTTTAAGCTTCATTCTTACAGGGAGGACTATGTGTTTCTGGATAAAGACAGCTCTTTTGCAGCTTTGCTTCGGTACACCACCTCAGTGGGTTTTGAATTAAACTATGGAGATGTGTTTGAGGTGTAAACTTTCACTTTTAGTTTAGGCTTCAAAACAAGTGTTGCTTTAACTGTCTAGGAATTGCAGACATTTATACAGTCTCACATTTTAATATCTGCAATCAGGATATGCCTGAAGTCTAGAAACCATAGGCATCACGAGTTTCCTCCTCTTCAGGCCTGTACTGCATCCACCTCGTGCTGCTGCGTGTTTGTGGGTCTCTGCCTTCAGTCTTGTATTTAATAACTGAAAACCTGCTGTTGGGTGGAGATCAGAGCAGCATGTTTTTAGTATCTTTACTTTGAAGGTTGTAAAGTCATTAATGATAAACAGAATCCAGCACATAACGGAGGTCTGGTGAGCTGTGATCAGGTTCCCCTCGAACACTTTTTTTGGAGCAGTTTGTGTGAAACAACTCTTTTAATCTGAAACTGTTAAACAGGTCACGCTGACACAGCTTCATGCCTGATCAGTTTATTTATTGATTGATTGAATGGCGTATTTACAGGTCATTTAAACAGTCACTTGGCGTTTTAATCATGGACAAGAAATAAAACAAAGATAGCAAAAAGGACGACCAGCTGAAGGATAGAGGTATGACAAAGAGAGACTAACATATGAGGAGGAAAAAAATAATCATTAATCAGAAATATTCTGTTCAATCCACAGTCCGATAAAATTTAGTGCCTTTATTAAAAGGACACCAGCTTTCCCCATAAATACAGTACTTTAATGCAACTTAGAGGGAAATAAATACATTTGATGACACTTAACAAAGAAGGAAAAAAAAAAACTAATTTAATACACAATCCTCTAAAAAAAAAAACTCAGATCAAGTTGAACATTTCAGAAGTTAACACTTTAAAAATTATTTTAATTGCAAACTTAATGCCATTTTGTATTTTTCCACAGATTCAAACCCTTAAATGTTCCTTAATCCAGCTGGAAAAATATTAAATACCCCATAATATACTCTGTATAATGTTAGCCTAATTTGACCCAAAGAGCAGGAAACGGCTTCATCTGAATCATCAGTCAGAGATTTAAATGTTTTCTACCTGATATTAATTAGAACCTAAAACTTCTATGTCAAAGCATCTCAAACTCTGCTCATGCTTTAAAGTTTTTACAGAGTAAAATCAGATTAATCAGAGCCTGTTGCTGAAAGAAGGTCCAGTAAATACTCCTTAGACATTAAAGTTAACGTTTGTTTTATTTATTTATTTTTACCCATTAAACCATTAACATTTAATCCATTAAAACTGTTCTCTTAAATATTCCACTTCAGGTGAAAACTACAGAACAACGTAAACACACCTGTGGTGATCTTTAATCCATTCATCATTTCCAATAACACCTGCAGCCGAAAGTATTTGACTCCAAACGTGACATAAACCCTCCCTAAACCTGTTGCTCCCGGCTGTGTCCGCCTAAATACTCAAAGGTGTTTCAGGGTCTCTTTGCGATGTGATTGGATGAAGCTGCTCTGCATTTCTTTGCCAATCCTTAGCTGAAAACCTCTCCGATCTTTTTCTTTTAAAGCGACTGAAGCAATTGAGCCAGAGTTTCCAGAGACTCATACAAAAAGCTTTGTCTTCAACAGTCCGACATTATTTACACAGTAAACACACAGAATATGTACAAACTGCAGCAACACTCGACTCCACTCATCCTCTCAGGCCCCCGTCCAGTGTCAGAGTGCCAAACCTGCAGAGGTGATACAGACCAGACAGAGTCACATTTGTGCCAAAATAATCACACTAAAGTTAAAATAAAAGAAAGTCAAACAAGAAGCTGAAGGCAGGTTTTCAGAAGCTGGCTCAGGCAAACAAAAGCATTTGTATTCTGTTTCTAAGAAAGTGTTCAGTGTCAGTGTTCATAAATCCAGGTCAAAATTACCCCCACCTCTGTACTTGCTGTGGGTTTGGTTGCTGTTTTTAAACTGAACTTTTGTGTTTTTCAGCTCTGAAAATATGAAGTAGAAACCTGCTGAACTTTAAAATGCAGGAAAAAAAAATAAGTTGGCCACATTTGAAACTGTTTTAGTTGAAGGTAACATTTTTATTTGCTTCATTAAATGTACTAACATAATTATCTAATTTTAATGGAACTTTAGGAGGATAATGTATAATCTGTATAATGTTCACTTTTCCCTCATAAAAGACCCTAATCATGAGTGTTGACACTTCAGTATGTATCAATAAATTTGTGGTTTGACGACCATTAGAATACTGGTATTACTGGTAGTACTAAGTGTGACAACTTGATTTTAAAAATCAAATTCTTTTAGAATAAACTTTACTGTATTTTAGGGGTCACTGATCAGCTCATTTTTTGTCCTTATTGTTTTGTTAGGGAGTTGGCACTGGTCCATATTATTCAGAGGCACGCTCATAAGCATCTTTTAGGTCTAAATTTTACATGAGCTGATTAAACAGAAATCAAAGTTATGTCAAGCATAAGGCCAGAATCGGCCGACCAAAGACTCCAACTAGCCTACTGCATGACTTCGGAAATACAAAGGAGGGCATGAAATTTGGACTTTAACTTTATTTTAGTTTTACAGCTTTTGCTGATGGTGAGGAGCTCCTCAATGGTCATTCATACTACATTGAAATAAATAAGTAACAGGTAAACAAATTACAGAAAGTTACAGATTTTATATTGGGTTCACAATAAAAATAAATAAACAAATACAAAAGACATTAAATGAAATGGTTTTGAGAACTGACAGATTTATAACTGTAGGACAGTCTGCACTGCACTTCTTTATCTTATATTAAGATATCACTGGTTCGGCTCAGACTGGGCTGTATGTGGGCTACGGTGTAAAATAAATTTGATATCCCTGGTTTAGAGAAAACATTCAGTCAATAAATTCAGAACCATAAACATCGAACCTGCGTCTGTTTCCGAGCGGTCTGCGTACTTTTTACATTTTAAATCAAACAATAGAAACAGAACCTGCAGCTGATTTACCGTAGTCTTAAATTAAAAACAGTAAAGTCTGACCTCTCTAAGAAATGGTTGTTTTCTGCCAACTCTTTGACCACTCCCTCCATCTCCTCCTTCAGCTTCTTCATCCTGAAACACAGAAGCACTGAGTCAGCACTCACGGCTGCTTCAGATGGAACTCAACACGATGCGACAATAGAGAGGAAACAAACAAACCCCAGAGTCATCTCCACCAGCGTGTTCTGGCTCAGGTAGGCCTGAGGCTTCATGCCACTGGACACCAGAGGAAGAACTTTCTGTGGCAGCTGTTCCTGCAGCTGGAAGACAAACAAACAGACACGTATTTCTGTCACTTCCAGACTTCATTCTGGGAAACTGACGGTAAACGAATGTGCTTAGTTATGATGACAGATTTCGTGTGCGTCAGCCGCCCAGCAGCTGAAATCGCTTTAATGTTTACCTTGATGGCTCTCTCCATCAGCATGGTCACCTCCTTCTCGATGCTGATCAGCTGACTGGACAGGTTTAGCAGCTGCTTCCTCACATGATGAACTTTCCTGAAAAAGCAAAAAAAAAGCAAAAAGTCAACACTCAAGCCGAGAGGAGCTCGGGTCACGACCCAGCTGCCCGCTTGCCTGTCATTACCTCATCCACTCCTCGCTCTTGGAGATGAAAAGACGGTACTTCATTGCGCACTCGTCTGTGAACAGAGTCCTGGCCTTACTCGCGTGAAGGACCAACTTCTGTCTGTAGGAGAGAAACAAAAACATGGCATCAGAAAGAAGGCGGAGCCTGACGGAGGACATCCACATAGTTGACAGTACCGGAACTTACTTGTCAAACTTGTGGATCTGCTCCTCGTTGTACGGCAGACCTGAACAGAAGAAATGAAACCAAACCATTTAAAGTTTCACTTTTACTCCTGTGACAGCGACATGCTCTCGGTTTAAAAGATTTTAAAATTGGCTTAAATTAACTAAAACCTTCAGTTCATTTGCTTTAAGCACAGCGTGACAGTGTCGTGTCATCATAACTGTTGGTAAACCTCAACAGCAAACAAAAGCTTTTATTAAACAGAAGACTAAGTGTGCTGTCAGTAAATGGAAAAGAACAGCTCAATAATGACAACAAAGGAGAGCTGCACATATCCCACATCTTAAACTTCGACTGATGGAGGATCACTTTTGTTTCAGTTTGTGTGTTTTGTTCAAGAAAGAAATAGAAATGATTTCTGATTTTCTGTTATGCAGGTGCAGAATATTTCGTAACATCTGACATTTAAAAAGTTTAATACAGCAGCGAGGTTGTGAAGGTAAATGTGAGTGTCATCTGCATAACAATGGAAGACGAAAGCAAATAAATAGAAAATAAAATGGAACCCAAAATTGAGCCTTGCAGTACACCACAGGTATTGTGCAAATTGTGAAGAAATGAACAGCCACATAGCAACATCAGGCATGAAATAAAAGCTGCTGATATGGTACAATCTGCAGTAAAGTGTGTGCTGTAAAACTTAGTAAATCATGTTTTTATGTTTTCTTTAAATAATCTTCCAGAATTATTAGGTGCTCTGAAAAGGAAACTCCTACAAATACATGTGCTGTTGGACCAGCCGTGAAGCTAACTGTGTGCAGGCTTTCTGTTTCTGAGCCTCATCAATAAATCTCCTTAGACCAACAGAAGTTTTGATCCTGATGCAGACTGTAGGTGAAGCTGGTTCTAAATGAAACCTGATTTAACGATGACTCTTCCTCCACAGATAAACAGCTGAATCTGCAGCCGTGTTTGTGAACTCACGTCTCTCTGCTTTGTCCTTCTTGAACTGCTGGTAGATGGCGGTGATGGCGTCCAGCAGCACTTTGATCTTCTCCACACTGCAGAGAAAAAGCCCAGCGTCACGCACTGCATCACCACACATCACTTTTGCATTATTATTTCCTGTTCTTTCAAACTTACTTCCTGTCCTCAGGGTGCGTCCCAACTTGCTGCGTCCAAGTGTCGGTCAGAAGGCCTCCAGGCAGAAATTTACTCTTGACGTCTTGTGTTGTACGTTCGATGGGCTCCAGAGAGCCGGAGATCTGCACAGAAACATTACGTCAGGACGAAACAAAGAAAAATCACCAACATTTTAAAAACAGTTGAAAGAAATGAGGCACAGTTAGACGACTGCACCATAATTAACAGACAACCTCAGACTCTAATGATATCATATGTATGGTGATACTGGAGGTTTTTAAAGTGAGCACGTGACCAAAAATTCTTAACTCAAGTGTTTCTGAGAGTCACAAAACTACTAAGCACTTTTCTTATAGTCCTACTCAGCTGTTAAGTTTGACCTTTTAAACCACATGTGTCAAAGTCAAGGCCTGCGGGCCACATCCGGCCCGGCGTACATTTATATCCGGCCCGTGAGATCATTTTATATAGATGTACTATTATTGTTATGCATGGCCCAGCAATATGAGGCGCTAATAATATACAAACTACAGATCCCATAATGCAGCGCTGCAGCCTCCTCACTGAAGGCTAGGCTAACTGGGAACATTCCCGCGTCAATCAAGTCAAACTTCTGTTATTGCGAAGTTAGCCGCGCACAATGGTGGAGAGAAAAGTTGATTCTGAAAACAGAGCCTTTCAGCGCCAGTGGGTGACTGAATATATGTTTACAGACATTGCTGGTAACCCCGTGTGTCTTATTAGTGGAGCTAATGTGGCTGTAATTAATAATGGATTGGATTTATATAGCGCTTTTCAAGGCACCCAAAGCGCTTTACAATTCCACTATTCATTCACTCTCACATTCATACACTGGTGGAGGCAGCTACAGTTGTAGCCACAGCTGCCCTGGGGCAGACTGACAGAAGCGAGGCTGCCATAGCGCCATCGGCCCCTCTGGCCAACACCAGTAGGCGGTAGGGTAAAGTGTCTTGCCCAAGGACACAACGACCAGAGAGCCTGGGGATCGAACCGGCGACCTTCCGGTTACAGATACACTTCCCAACCCCCTGAGCCACGGTCGCCCCAATTAAGGAAATTAATTTAAGACGGCACTACGAGACAAAACGTCAGGATAAGCTGAAAGCAGAAACTACAGAAAGTAGAAGAGCTAAAGAAGAATCTGACATTTCAGCAGACTTTTTTCACCACAGCAAAATCACAAAGTGAAGCTGTGTATTGTAGCAGAGGAGACAGTCAAATCAGCCCGGTACCACTCTGAAGAGCTGCATGATGAACCTGTGCGACATCTTGTGTCCAGACAAAACGCAGAGTTTGGCAAATGTGAGCCTGAGCAGAAATACGATTGCTGATCGGGTTTGTGAGATGGCCACGGATTTAAGAACATAGTTGTGTGAAAGAAGCAAAAACTTTATTGCATACTCTCTTGCTGTGGACATTGCGCAGCTGGCCATCTTCATCCGTGGAGAGGAAATATTGAACATTAAATCGATGCACGGGACAACGACAGGGAAAGACATTTTTTTAAACGTATGTCAAAGTGTAGCCGACATGAAACTGCCCTGGGACAAACTTGTTGGACTTACAACAGATGGAGCGCAGGTGTTGTGCGGTGAAAAAAGTGGACTAGTCGGCAGGATGAGAGTAAAGATGCAGGAGGAGAACTGTACCGATGAGTTAACAGCATATCACTGCATCACACACCAGGAAAGGCTGTGTGGTAAAGTACTAAAAATGGAGCATGTAATGATCACCGTAACGCAAACCATAAATTTTATCTGAGCTAAAAGATTAAATCACCGTCAATTTCAGTCTTTTATGTGGGAAATAGATTCAGAGTTTGCCGACATTCCTCATCATACAGAGGTCCGTTGGCTGAGATGGGATAAAAATTCTCAATAGAGTTTTTGAGCTCAGCAAGGAAATCTGTCAGTTCATGGACATGGCATGTATGATGCTGTGAAGGCATTTCAAGTGACGCTATCACGAATGCACCAGTGCAACCTGCCTCACTTTCCCTGTTGCCAAGTAATCCTGAACCAAGTCAGCGGACTTTGCTGAACTGCACCTGTGCAGATTCAGATGGAGCTGCAGTGTAATGATACACTCAAGGGAAAGTACGACACTGAATGGCCCGCACAGTTTATTAGTTCCTTTCCTGAAGCAATACCCAGCTCTGTCTACATGCGGCTCGAACCTTGTGTATGCTTTCATTTATTTTTTCTGGGGTTTTTGGCAGCATGTTCATATTTCTAACTTGCATAATTTTGACGGGATATATTTTTATGAAGGGCAAAATATTTAAAGTTTCTTCAATTCTCAAACTCAAAATCAGAGTCGCCACCAAGAGTTCAGTGTGGCTGTTCTCTCAGATTATTACTGTCAGGTTACAATAAAATTAAAAAAGAGGATTTATGAGTTTCAGCTCGTTCAGAGGTTTTAAGAACCAAGCTGATAAAAATCTGGAGAGTCTGAGAGACAAAGAACTGCAGCATGTTAGAAAGATGTCTGAATAACAAATGTGATGCACAGAGACAGGAAAAGAGCGCCAGCACTCACTCTGAGAACTTTCTTGTGCATGTCTGAGATCTCGTCGTATTCTGACGACAGCATGTTGGCCTGCATCAGCACCTCGAACCTGAAGCACGGCGAGAGCATCACGTTATTAACAAAACTTTCAGGATTACACTCTGGAAATTATTATTATTCAAACACTGCATTACATTTCACTTTTAACAGTTAATGAAGGCTGAATTATGAAAAACAGATCTAAAGAACTGTCACCATCTAAGAGAGTTGCTTACATTGAACAAATCCACAAAGTCAGTGTTAAACAGAAATGCGAGGTTGGTGGAAAAACAACTTGAGACTAGGGCTGGGCCATATCATACCGTTCATGGTAACACCGGTATAATGTTTGGCAACGATAAGAAAATGAAATATCGCTTTAGAATATGGGTAAAACACACATGCGCAGTGCCTTTGTTTTTGTACGCACATGGCAGAAAAAGTATGATGGCGACGGAGAATGAGAAGGGCGAAAGCGGATCGTTGAATCAAACGGATGAAACAGAATTGGTTTGTAAAAATGCTGCAACTTCAGTGGTGTGGAACTGGTTTAGCTTTCGTCCCTCAGATACAAAACAAAGCACTATTTTTGGTAGAGCATGCTAGCGGGCCGTCGTTATTACCGTGTTTTTTGGAAAATACGGCACACTTGGACAGCGCCCCTTATAATCCCGTGTGCCTTATGTATGAATTCTGGTTGTTTGTTTACTGACCTCGAAACGATTTTATGTACACGGTGCTCGAAAATCTGTCAAATGTTTTAGTCCGACTTTGCTAAGCTACAAACTCACAGTGCTTGATGGATTGTCGGAGCTTTACAGCTATTGTAGGCCGGAGCCTCGCGGAGTGATACGTACTGTGCTTCAACATAATATTACCGTATTGTGTATGTATAACCACTTTTTAAGTTTTGTGGATATTATACATGGTTATGCTGAGGATATGTCGGCCATTTTCCACTGGAAATGCCTTTTGGTTAAACTGTCAGCAAGGAATTTGCATTTGCACTGTAAAATTTTTATATAAGTTTATTGCACATAAAAAACAGCTGTTTGTTTAAGTGAAAATACATGTTTGTGATTTTTTTTGCACTACTAAAGTTGAATAAAGTCTCGAGTTGTTAAGTATTTTGTCTACTGTAAATTATATCGTCAGTTACATGTTATCGCAAATTTTCAAATGTATATCGTGATAAATATTTTTGGTCATATCTCCCTGCTCTACTAGAGCAGTGGTCCCCAACCCCCGGGCCTCGGACTGGTACCGGTCCGTGAGTCGTTTGGTACCGGGCCGCGAGAGTTGAGGCTCAGGTGTGAAATGTATGGTTTTCAGGTGTTTTATCGGTTTTCAGCGTCATTTTGTTATCGTTTTGATCATTAACTCTGTTTTCCTGGGTCTTTTCACGTGTGTTATGAATAAATCTTCTTTTTCTTCCGTAACGGTACTAGTTTTATTTTGTTGTATTTATCCGCGACACCTTAAAGGCCGGTCCGTGAAAAATATTGTCGGGCATAAACCGGTCCGTGGCGCAAGAAAGGTTGGAGACCGCTGTGCTAGAGACTATTAAATGTAGTGTCAAGTTTCTGTGGACTTTTTTTTGCAGTAGTTTTAAGTCTCAGAAGTAAATGCTTTCAATACTTGTTCTGAGTCCCTTTGGTGACTTCAGTCTCTTTGTGATAATTTTAAGTTTTGAGTCTCTTGGCAATTTTATATATCGTTAGCTTCATAGCATAAGTGCCTAAGTCATTTTTTGGTCAAATTGAGATTTTTGCCTAACTTTACTCCCCTACCACTGCTGCATCATCCTGTCCGTCTGCCTATGTCATCACAAAAAAATGACTTAGGCACTTATGCTATGAAGCTAACGATATATATTTATATATATATATTTATTAGGGCTGGGTATCGTCACTGATTTCTAGAATCGATTCAATTCCGATTCGATTTAATTCGATTCGATTCGATTTAAATCTGGGAAATTTTGACAGTCAGAGATATAATTCAGATCAGGACATTTACATATTTTTGTATCTATAAAAAGGAAGCTGACACTCTCAAGACTTTATC